AGCCATTATGGGTAGAAAAGGGTCATACTTTTTAGATGAATCTTTTTCGCATAGACAGTGGATCCACTTAGTAGTTCAGGTCCTATACTTATGGCCATGTATAGGATGTGCTGGCAGCGTGAGGAAGATCGTTGTATCATCAAAATAGCTCTTATGTGATGGTTGTCGTTTAGAGAAACTCCCACAGCAGTATTTTGTATTTTATATACATTAGATTATTTGTATTTTTACATACATCTCATAGTTATATGTATCTTTGCATACACACAAAGTTGGCATCATGTTTTAAACGTGTTTTCTTTATATTGCACATGTTTTAAATTGCTTTATATTGAAATGAGTTCAATTATGTTAAGTTGAGTTGAGCCAGGTAAGTTCTTCAGTTTCTTTCAGATTCTTTTCAAGCTTATGTTATGCTTTAGAATTCCCCTTACATGCTCGTACATTCCACGTACTGAGCCATTTGGCCTGCATTTTTTCATGATGCAGACACAGGTATTCAGGATCATCAACAGGAGCTTTGTTGATACATCCGAAAGTTCGAGTTAGCTATGGTGAGCCTCTTTGTTTCCGGAGGATTTCACTTACTTTTCAGTTTAGTCAGGATGTCGTGGGTCTTTTCCCGACTTCCATCTTTATCAGTTAGAGGCTTCATAGATAGTCAGTATAGTTGAGAAGTCTGTATTATACATTTATTTTATTAAATGTTTTAAAGACTTAGTTGCCTATTTTATGGCGAGTTGAATATATTGTTTTTATTCTAAGTTGTTCATTTGAGTTAAAGTTTTGGAAAGTTGGGTTTATTGAATTTTATTCAGTTTTAAGCTTTTGCATGCTTAAGTTAGTCTTCCGCTTGTAGTCAGCTAGGATGAGGGTTCGCTTGGGGACCAGCAATGGTTCTTGAGTGCCGGCCACGTCCAGGGTGTAGACTCGGGTCGTGACATTGATAGAACTATTTTGTTGTGAATTGAAAAGTAGAAACTCATCATGTTAATAAATAAAGTCAAACCAAAAAATTTCTCTTAATCCTAGGCAACTTATATAAATCTCTTTGGTTTAGGAATTAATTACTTAAATTCATGCTAGTTTGTATCTGGTGTATCCAGATACGTTTTGATACATCATACATGTATCTCACATGGACTCAACATTAGGTGTAATTTGTTCTAAATACATTGTATCCATGTGGATTTGCATATATGTAACTCTCTCTCTTGCCTTTCGTTTATCTCATTCGCCACTCTTCTCTCTCGTTTATCTCTCTCCCTATTTTAGTGTATTTGATAGTAAAAGTATATTTATGTAGGTGCATCTGATAGATGTATAAGCAATTATTTGAAAGTATAGATTGAATTAGTAGAAGTGATATGAGTTGCTAAGCCCAATTACTAGTATCTAGTCAAGCCTTCGGCCC